TGGCTGGGAGGGCAGGACAAGCAAAAGAGATTTTTTTATAATATAAACCCTAACAAGGCACCGCGCCCCTGGTGTGCGCAGGTTGTGGAAAGCACCAGAGTGATTCGTCACAAGAGCGCCATGGCCCAGCGCTGGGAGGCAGGGCAGTACGTCAGGGACAGCGACTGAGGGCGCCCGCGGGGCCGGGGCCGCCGGGCTTCGCCGGGTCCTCACCCCGTTTGGGATCTGCTGGTGCACGACCGAAACACCAAATCGATCGAAACACCAGATCGACCGAAACACCAAATCGACCGAAACACCAGATCGACCAAAACACCAGATCAGTTCCGTGGTTACCACGAGAATCGGCGACTTGTACAGCGCAGACCGCCCCCGTTTTTAACCTAACAGATGATCCGTCCGGCGCATCAGATGTGCTCAGGCATCCCCTTCCCTTCGAGGTGAGGGAATGCTTTTTGGTTTTTTTTTTTCTTAAGAGGGGGAAAAATTGGATCGCTTTCTTTTAATCAATTCTGCAAGGAGACAGCACGATGAAATCATACGGTAATTTAACCTCCTCCTCGCTGGAAGCTGCGTCTCTGGCTGACAACAAAGCCATGGGCTTTCCAAGTGGTTTTAGGTTTTTTAAGTCCCAAGCCCCAGGCCTCACCTCGGGGGTACAGAGGCGCACAGCTCTGGATCGATACCCGCAGCAACCCGGGAAATCAACGTTTCTGCTTAATTCCTGTCATTTGCTGAGATGCAGCAATAGATGATACATAGCTATAAAAAAAAAATGCTGTTTATTTTGCTAATTTATTAAAGAGTCATTGTTCTCCCTCATTCCTCCCGGCCTGTTCTGTCTCCACCGGTTTTGCAGCAGGCGTTGCGAAGGAGCCCCCCCGCGCTTGGGGGCCGGGGACGCATGTCCAGGGCTGGGACGGGGACCGGGACGGGGACCGGAGCCTTCTGCTGGGCGCAGCCTGGGGGGACGCGGCTCTGGGGGCTCCCTGCGGCTGCGGGGCTGGGGAAGGGCCGGGTCGGGAGGCGGGCAGGCCCCGCTGTCGCTAGATGGCCCCCGGTGAGCGCGCAGGCAGCGGCGAGGGCCGGGCACCCCTGGGGCGAGCGTGGGGCGATGGCGCCCAGCCACGGCAGGCTGAGCGCTAGGAGGAGGCCCAGGCTGAGCTCTAGGAGGCCAAGGCTGAGCTCAGCTCAGGGCTGGGCACAGAAGTGCTGGCAGCGACTGCTGGGCACGGCGAGTTCCCCGCTGCTGCTTCCCCTCCGGTCTCTGAACTGACAGCAGAGGGGCGTTCAAAACCCTCCGTGCAAAAAGAGGAAAAGAAATGGGTGGTGCAGAAACCTCTGGGCGTTCCCCTCCTGCAAAGCACGGGATGGCTGATCCCGGACGGCTGGTCCTGCTCAGCTAACGGTGACCCAGGGCCCCAGGCGGGGCTCGCTCCATTGCTGCCCAGCACCCGCAGTGCTGCTGGAAGAGCCCCATTCCCCCGGCAGGGTAGGAGTTGGGCAACGTCCACGTCTCTCCTCCACCCGCAGCACGGCTCCCTGCCCCACAGCGGCCTGGGAAGACAGGAGACGGGCCCAGGGTTGCTGCCCATCATCTCATCCACGGCCCTGATCACACTACTCTGCTCTCTGCCTTGGTCTCCACCCTAATTAATCAGTTTTTCTCACGACGCAAAGATGAAAAGCACGTGTAACCCCCAGATGAGCCCAAGGGCTTCTCCCTTCCCCTTGAGCCCTGCGGGGACGGGTGAAAAGCAGGGGCTGGAGCAGGAAGGTGACAGCCCCCCGGCCACCCAGGCGTGGGAGCCTACTGGCCCAGCCGGCAGCTCTGCTGGCCCCGAGGGCTGGAGGGTATCCTGCCGCCAAGCCAAAAGCATTCGGTCTCACTTCTCGCAGAAAAAGACGTTCCTAGAAATCCTTTTCCACCAGATATATACACAAGTGCATTTAATAATATAGTTTTATGCATATATTCATCCCGGCCATAAATGTTCAATTCTAAGATCACTCATGGAACGGTTTTTGTGGGAGGTTAACAAGGCACCTCCCAGCTGATAAACGGAGTCGGTTTTACTTGGACATCATTAGCAGGCAGCAGAAATGGAGACTGGGACAGGGTTTTCCTCTTATCCCTTTTTCAGGTGAAAGCGTACTCAAAGCCCCCCAGCTGCGATCTTTGAAACGCCCTCCTGCCGCAGGCGCTGCCCCTAGCACCAGCCTGCTATGGGTAACTTCCTAATTATTGGAAACAAGGTTTTTGGTCTGAGCTGCCAAGACGTGCCCTGGGACAGTTACTCCGAATTTCTGGTAATGCTACGTCCTGGCGGGTACGAAACGCAGCACTCCTCTGGCTGATCTCTTCTATGCACAGCAGCTGAACCCCTGACGAGGTCTACTTTAGCACATTGCACAGGGTGTACTCATTTGCATGAAGCACAATTAACTGTCCTTGAAGGACCTCCTGGTCCCCCTGGGCCACCCCCTCTCCCCGGGGGGTTTGCCTCCTGGCGTGGGTAACGGTGCTGAGGCAGCCGCTGCCTCCCCCACGCCCACCCCGTCCTCTCCTGTGGACACACGGAGAACCAGGAGGTGCCCAGGAGCTCCTGCCAGGACTAAGCGAAGGCTGCTGGCTAATTGCACCACCTGATTTTTAAGGCAGCAGCCTTTCATTAACGAGCTTTGGGGTGTGGACTAAATAGATCAGCACAGAGGAAGGAAAAGGCTGATGTGGGCTGTGGCAGTTGTGATGCTGCCTGTGTTTGGGAGCATGAGGAAAGCTGGAAGATGCCCTCCAAGCATGTGAGTTTGTAATATTTTTTTTTTTATGGCTCTTTAAACCTCCCTAAGTTATTTGGTGATATTGAATGTTGCTTGAACAGGACTGGTTCTGGCAAAGGGTTTGGCCACAAAGACCTCGTTAAGAAACCACGAGCGTGGGCTCTGTGGGATTTCAAACAGCCCAAATCCTCCCCGGGGTCTGCTCTGCAACCCTGAGTAACGATGGGCTCAGCACAGGAGAAACCTGAGCCCGAGCAGCGAAGGGGCTGGCGTTTCAGGAAACCGTTACCTGCTGGTTTGGGTTTGCTGGCTTCATCCCTGTCGAACAGGCAAACAGGCCGGCCAAGCGGGGCTGAGTAAAACGTTCTTTTATTAGGCTATGACAACAATTCAACCCAATAACTCAATGCATTGATGGAATTGTACTTGAACTGCTGAAAAACGTCGACTACCTCTACCCGAGTGTGTTTATGAAAGCACCACCCACCCTCTCGATGCTGTCAGCCATTTTAAATAACTTCTTAAAACACAGTCCCAACTTCTTAAACCTACAGACCTTTCACTAAGAAAAATGACACGAACCCTGTGGAACACATTCCCACGAGATACGGATCAGCAGCTGGCAAACGTGGCATTTCATTGTTCTCCTTCCACCCCAGAACGAGCCCATGTTGTTTATTTTTACGATAAGCTTATGCTACAGACCAAACGCTGTTTGCAAGCACCAGCTGCCCTAAACATGAGTGCAGCTTAAACACCCAGCCCAGCCACTCAGCTACTGAGCCCTCTCCGCAGCTATTTTATCATGTCGTTAACGATGCAGTAGAACATTAACTTGTTTTCCAAATGTGAAACCTAAGACACTCGTATTTAACTCCCTGAATTATCAATTCCATTAACAGAAGGAACAACGAAGCTTTCCTCTTCACCTGAAAGCGAAGGGGATGCAAACCTGTTGATGACTTGTGTTCTAAGGTGACACGGAAGAGCAGGAGGTTCCCAACCCACGCTGAGCATCGCCATTTAAACCTTGCACGGTCACGCTCCCGTCAAAAAGTGGGATGGCAGGAACGAAGTGGATATGTTTATTTCTTGGACCTCTTTATGGGTCCTTTGACTTCCTGGATAATAACTTTCAAGATCTTTTCCATTTTGGCTTTTGTCAGTGACTTTCTGCAGTACCATACTTGGTCCCAAATGGAGCAGAGGGGCTTGGGAGCTAGATAGAGCGGGTCGTAGTCGTGAAGCATATCCAGCGGCCTCCTCTTGGCATATTCCTTATAGTCTGCAATGGGACAGTTATCTGGGCTGTCAGGCTTGGCAAAGAGACGTGGGCCCAATGCCCCTGTATTCGCCTCTGCTCTCGGCTCATCCTTCCACTCCAAGTACTCCAGCTCTTCCTCGCTCTTCTTCAGCACGAGCTGTCCCCAGTACAGGTTATGGCTCTGACTGTGTGTACTGGCCCCAAACCCCCTAATGATATTTGTGAATATGAGGTGCAAAAAGCTCTGTGGGTGCATCTTACTTAAAAGTCCCTTCTTACGAAGAGTTTCCACTTCTTCATCTGTCAGGTTTTCCAAAATACTCCACTCTCCCTCCCTCTCTTTTTGAGATAGGTGTTGATGCTTTAGTTTCAAGGCTTCCTGAGATGCTCTGAATTCCAGCCCTTTAACCACACTGAACTTGTAGTTGTGGTCCTTGAGGTATCTCTCTATGCTGCTCTGGAAGAAGTGCAAAGAACTGGAGGAAAAATCTGTGCCGTTCTGTCTCTTTGCCGAAGTGTAGAAGGAGACCAGGTAACTATCGAGGTCTTCAGGTGGCAGCCTATAGACCTCGCGCGTTTCAGAAGGGCAATGTAAAACCAGCCAGTCCCTGAACATTTTTATATCGCCAGTGTTACGGTTTCTCCTTTTCTCCCACTTCTTCAACACATCTAAAAGATAAAGACACAGCTTTGAAGACAGCAAGAACTTACAAGGAGATTGGTGGAATATAAGGAGAGGCAGAATAATGTTCACCCTCCTTCTAAAAGTCATTCAGAGATTACGGGACATTCACAGACCCCTTCCTTTAAAGCCCTGGGTTAGATCCGTGTCCTCAGCAAGCCAGCCAGCACTGCCTGACATCGCCAGCCTAGCTAGGGAAGGGATCGCCTCCCTCCTTGTTCCTTCTCACTCACATGCTGCCACACAGGTAAGACAATGATGCTTAAATGGGAGAGAATGAGCTCCTAATGAGATTTAGTCACTGAATGTCATTGTGGGGTGCACATGTGGAACGCATTGGTGCACATTCCGTGGGCCTTCTCGGACAGCAACGCAGGGCTGGAGCCTGGGCCTGTCCCTGGGGGCCTGGCTCAACCCTGAACTTCACCTGGCTGAATCTGGAGTTGGCTCTGAGTGTGCTCGTAGGCCCAGGCTGGTGGGACCAGCCACGGAGCCAGCGCTGCAGCCCTGAGCCCGCAGAGCTGGCTGTGAAGCCCAAGCAACCCCAAATGGACTCGGTAACGCTTTCATCAACTTGCAGCTACCCTGGCGTGTATTTTGGGCGACTGCAGGGGCCGGACTGTGCTCTGTTAGAACAGAGGGGAGCTGGCCTGTACGTGGATCTTGTGATCTGCCGCAGGACTAAGCAGCATCCATTTCGTATGTTCAAAGTGTTGTACAATACAGTTTGCAGTATGCAAAATATACTTCAAAGCATTCTTCTTTCCAAAAACCTCTTCAGGCAGAAGAACTCTCATTGTGAAATAAAAACATTAACCAGAAGTTAGGGGTAGATACTGAGGGAGAATAAAAAGATGAGTAAAAGTGTGTGTATTTTTTTTTTTTTCTTTTAAAAAGAATTGCCAAGATTCCAGTTGGGTTATCTCTCAAGTTGCTATGGCAATACCACATCTACCTAGTTTGATGTAGCATGAGAAATTAATTCTTTGGATTGCTGAAAAGCTCCATCTGCTCGCCTGTGACTTTTCCAGGGCTGAAGAGGTGGAGGTTGAGAAGGCTCCTAGAGCCAACAGCTAGAGATCCCCCTTCTTGTACAGAGTTATTTTATACACACTTAAAATGCTGTGGCTGGACTGAGGTGGATTCTACTGATCCTTGTGCTGCTGTTTTGGGTTTTTTGCTTGTGTTGTTACTGACTGCTCTATGGGAAGAGATGAATGGCTTGTAAATCAATACCTGCAGAGGCCTCGCTTGAGCCATAAGCCATTTATCTTGGCAGGAACAGCTACTACACAGACATCCCCAAATGAATTCCCAGTCCCTTCGGATGATATATGTTGTCAATTACAAAAATAGTCAATGTTCACAGAACCCAACTGTGCCAGTTTGTCCAGTTGTGGCTCCATAAGGAACACGAGCGTCTGTAACCCCGAGCCTATTCAGGAACACCAATGGTGCGTTAAGCGTACACCCGCTGTGTTACAGGCAAACCCCAAAGCGCTATTTCAGTAATCCCTTGCCTTTTGAGGGACGCTGCCCAGTCCCCCACGCTGCAGAAACCTGCGGTAGGCTGGTGCTCGTTAGCGTTACAGCTAGTTGGGATAGGTCGTTATTTCAGCAGAGAAATGGGTACTGATGTCTGGTGCAGTGGGACAAGTATTCAGGGTGGGACAGGGGACAGCATAGTCGCAGCCCTGCCCTGCGGCTAGGGAGGAGTTTTGGGGACACGGCCGGTCAGGAAGCGTCCTGTGTGGCCGCAGGGCAGTGCCGCAGCAGCTCTGCCAGCCTGGGCACCCGGCGTGCCACGGACAAGGCCGTGGGGATGGACTGGGAGAAGAGAAGAGGTTTCTGGAATATGAAATGGGATTCTCATAGCGAGTGTGTGGAAGCAAGATGCATGCTGTCGGGGACCGCTTCTCAGTTAGATGGAGCCAAGGCATTAAGCCACTGGATGGAAAACATATACTCTTACTCTTTGAATTATATTTTTAAAATCTGCCTCAATGTTTACACCCAGGTACTAGCAGACAAAACCATAAAACTGGCTAGACAGCAGTGTACTTGGTGCTCATGTGGAATAGCACCTGCAGGCACTCAAATCATTATAGATGCAAATGTTGTGGCTTTACTATAACTCTTTAAACACCTGGACATTTGCATTTCATTTGAGGTGTTTGATTAAATAATATACATGTACCTGGCATTAAGGCTCCAGTGTATTATATACATCTCTCCTAAAATATGATAGTTTATTGAATGAATTAAATCAATTTCATCGATGGCTTCCCCCCCACTTGCAAAGACTAGCACAGTTTTGATGATGGCCACGCACTGTGTGAGCTGTTCCTTCTTGTGTGGATGGTGCCTGTTTTAGAGCAGGATTAAAACAGCCGCAAAGCTAAAATCTTTGTCACACAGCATATTCTTATGACACAGAATCGTTTGAAACGCTCTCTGTGCACAGCTCAGCCTTGGTTTGAAAGTTCCCTAGCAAGCAGTGTATCTTGCAAGTTCACGTTTGAGCAATTACAGCTCTCCCCGCTCCAGTAGGATTCCAAGGACAGCATGTATGAAAATCTTAACATTCTTAAAATTGCTAAAGCAAGTTGCTCAGCTCGCGTAATTTAATGTGCGGGACTAAAACTTTGCACCCATTGCAATCTCTGGGATTTACTTTGGTGTAGGCAGAGTTTCAGCCACAATTTCTCTGTTTCACTGCTTTGAAAGTTACTTCCCTTTGTCGTCTTCTCTTGGACCTCAGTTCCTACCTCTGGCTCTGGTTTCTCACAGGGACTCTCTCTTAAGCACAGCCAGCATACTAGGTGGTGATACTAAGTAAAATGAAAGACCCAAGTATTCAAACTGAGTAGTTAAGGCTGGGCCGCAGCCAGGTACACATTTGGGTGCCTCAGTGAACGGCACCATCTATTGAAGGGCTGGTTGCTTACCTTAGGAACCTTTTTCGTCCCTTTTAGAAGAAACAGAGCGCCCCAAATCAGAGACATTTACTTAGATGCTACAGTACAGGTTTTGGCAGCTGTATGAACTCACCCTCCTTTCATATTTGGGGAAGTGATTAATGGAATGCACCCACAGCCCCTCCAGGAACAGAACTCCAGAGACCCTTACTTTTGTTTGCTGATGCAGGTGGATGGTCTGCGTTCTCGGTCTCTGGACTCAATGAGGCTGAAAGATGCGGCGTGTGCCTGGATCCTGACGGTTCACTCTCCTCGACAGGGTTTTCGGTAACCTTCCCTCTTAAGCCTATTCCTGGTATGCCGTGCTCAGGAGGGCTCAGCTGGAGCTGCTGCTGGACATCTACAGTGGCCTCAAACTCAAAGAATGTCACAGAGCTGGGTGACTCAAGTTGGGCCTTTGCTTCAGTGTTGGAGATGGGAACAGATTTTAAATGTTGTTTTGGTATTGCTGACCCAGAAGGATTTCTGGCTCTAGAAGTTTCAGTCATGGACCCTACAGGATTGAGAGGGCCTAATATCAAGAAGCTGCTGTCCAGGCTCTCTTCATTGCTGATGGGGGACTTCCAAACGCAGGCAGGAGTTAGGGGTGGGTTTCCTGTGGGGGCAGTGGCAGCCCAAACATCTGGCTTTGGCTTGTTAAATGCCATCTTCTCACTGGGATGTGTTTGCAAATCAGCCTCAGCAGTTACACCCTTAATTGGTGATTCTGTCAGAACACGCTGGTTGATTTGGTCTCCTCGGTCTTCTTGGTCTGATATACACTGTTCTTCATCGGAGATGATTTGCAGGTCTTCGTTGCCTTCAAGCTTCACTTTCTGTCTGTCAGTTCTGCCTTCACCACCAGATATTGACAAATGCTGCTCTGCTGCAAAGCACGATTTCATGGATTTGCTATTTTTTTGGTTTTCTCTGGGTGACGCTTCGTTATGTATTATGTAGACTGTGTCGTCTTTCTGCTGAGTGACCCCTGGAGGTCTGCTGCATGACCTTGTGCTAACAGCCCTCTCAAAAGATGGGGTCATCCTGAACCTCTTTTCATCTGAATTAGCTCCCCTTGACGAAGCCTCAGAAGATACTAACCTCCTTCTCTTTTCTACAGCTTCGTTCTCTTCTCTGCTACTGACATACAATTTTCCACACTGCCAGTGATAGGCATGTCCACCTCCACATATCCACAGAAGAGAATTGTCCTTGCTAGGATGACCCATGTTCTGCACAATTTCCAAGGCTGGGATTTGGTTGCATATGGTCCCATGAGTGTGTGCCCAGGTCACAAGATTGGAGAGATCCATGCGAAGTGCACTGGCATCGCTGCACCTTCTGTCACTGACACTCTCATTCTGTAAGAATGTGTTGGAGAAAAGTTAAGTGAAAGAGGATGTGCATAAAACAGCAGCCCTGGGGACTGCTTCTAGCCCCATCTCGATAGAGTAAAAAAAAGAACCCTCTAAGGATTCTTTTGAAAAACCAATGTATTCATTCTTTAAAATAAATACATTTGTCCACTTTGAAGACCTGGAGGGTAGTTTGTGGGCATGGTCCTGGAATGATGAATTTACTATTGATATCATTTATGCGAACCTATGGGCTCTGAGTCCTGATCAAGTTCACACCTCAGCTGACAAACAGCAGCTGTTCACGTGTGTGTTGTAAATCCACAGCGTAACTGAGATTAACCACCCAGCGGAACCACCCCGGCAGCGACCACAGCTCAGCTAGTGGAAGGGTAACTCGCTGAAGTGTAGTGCTCTGTTTGCAAATCCGAGTCCCGTGATCTGAGCAAGCTCGTACCCATGGCCAATTCTGTACTTGCTTACGGAAAATAACAAGAGAAAGTGTCAGGAATCGGCTTCTCAGTCTCCCACCTCCCCAGAGCCAGCAGGGCTCATCCTTCTTCCATCTGACACAATGGCAGCACTACTTGCATCAAAGGGAAACTGGATATATGAGGTGGTTGGTTGTGGGATGCTTTTCAGAATCTAAAAAATGGGCCTTGCATCCACAGATCTAAAACTTGTTTTTAAAAAGTCTACATTTTTAACACTATAATCGATTCTGTTATAAACAGTTGTCTGTGGTATCACTTATGCTATAAAGGAATACTTACCATGCTGCTGCCTTCTACCTCACTGAGCCTTCTCTCTGGTGGAGATCAGTAAGTGACTGAATGTTCTTTCTTTCTCCCTCAGAACCTAAAACAATCATCATACATGTGTGTGTCTATATACATACATATTAAAAAAAATCTGGCTAGCAGATGCAGCTAAATCTTGTAAATGCTCAGTCCAAAGTAAATGCTACTGCAGAACATGTGCCTTCGTTAGGGTGAGCTCCCATGGAGCTCGAATGAACCATATACTGAAGGCTTGACTTGTGTAAGTATCTGCAGGGTTAGCTTCGGCAGCGTACCAATCAACGTTGAAACACTATATAAATACTGAAAGTGCAATTTTAAAAACCAGACTCTGCGAGGTGATGTTCCTTTCAGCCCTGGGACTCTGAGCACAGGCTGTGGTTAGCAATCTTTACTTCTCCAAACCCTGAACTGAAGAAACAGAAGTACCAGAAATAGCGAAGCTAGCTCAGATTCTGCTGTTATCTGGCTTTTCAAATGGTGAAAAGAGGAAGTTTCCTAACTAAAGAATTGTTTGTATGTGTAACTCATATTTACTAGAGACTAAATCTGAAATTCTCCCATCTGTTCTGAAACGTTCTGTGTAGCAGCCTAGAAAGTCATCAGCATTTGTGTGTAACAGGTTAGAGAAGAACAATCGGTCACGTAACTTACTGTCAACATACACCTTGCAAGAAAGCCAAGAAGCCTTACGATGCTCTGTGACTGATACCGCATGCATTTACAATTCATAATGGCTGTCTTTGCTTCAGGCATCTTAGTCTATTATTAATTAAAAGCTTTGCATTTAGTGGTGGTAAAAGATGCCAGACTGAAAAGACTGGACACAGGAATCTTGTCTAAACTGGTTCTTTGCACAGCTCTGTCCTAAATGTGACGTGGCCTCCCGGTGAGAACAGGTCCTTGTTGGCTTTGAAGGCGAGCACGCACGTGCAGACAGCCCAGCACACCGTGAGGACACATCCTCACCGGGTGTGTGAGCTCGAGCCTCCGGGCCTCCTGCTCTGCGTGCTCCTGTTCATCAGGCAAGCTGCAGAAGGCAGGAGAAGCCCATCCCAGCTGACAGATGTAGGGCTGCTCTGTAATCCGTGGATGCGGTGCTTGTCTGCAGGGATTTGTTTCATGAGTATGCTAGTTAAACTGAGGGAAAGCCTGTTGGTGCACAGGCAGGAAACTGCTGTACTGCAGAAGCCCTGTTGTGCACCGGCATCCGAGGCAGAGGCTGTGCCCAGGGCCCTGCCTCCACCGGCCGGGCTTACCGGCTCTGCGCAAGGCAGCAGGGTGAGGAGGGCCCAGGGTGAGGCAGAGGAGCCCTGCCTAGAGGAAGGGATGTAAGAGTGTGACCGGCCGGGCTGCCTGGGCATGGCCGCCAGCCCCATGTGCAGGGCAAAAAATGGATGAAAAGCTGGACATGAGCCGGCAATGTGCGCTGGCAGCCGAGAAGGCCAACCGTACTCTGGGCTGCATCAGGAGAAGCGTGGCTAGCAGGTCGAGGGAGGTGATTCTGCCCCTCTACTCTGCTCTGGTGAGGCCGCACCTGGAGTACTGCGTCCAGCTCTGGAGCCCTCAGCACAAGAAGGACATGGAAGTGTTGGAGCGGGTCCAGAGGAGGGCCACAAAAATGATCCGGGGGCTGGAGCACCTCTCCTATGAGGACAGGCTGAGGGAGTTAAGGTTGTTCAGCCTGGAGAAGAGAAGGCTGCGGGGAGACCTGATTGCGGCCTTTCAGTACCTAAAGGGGGCCTATAGGAAAGATGGGGAAAATCTTTTTAGTAGGGCCAGCAGTGACAAGACAAGGGGTAATGGTTTTAAACTAAAACAGCACTGGAACAGGTTGCCCAGAGAGGTAGTGGAGGCCCCATTCCTGGGAACATTCAAGGCCAGGTTGGATGGGGCTGTGAGCAACCTGATCTAGTTAGCAGTGTCCCTGCTCACTGCAGGGGGGTTGGACTAGATAACCACTAGTGGTCCCTTCCAACCCTAAACATTCTATGATTCTATGATTCTATGAAAGCCTGGTGGCTGCTGCAGGGCTTGGCCAGCATCAGCGACACGAGGTGGGGATGTGGGAACCATGTGGTGGATGGCCCTTACCCTCTCCCTTTCCAGCTTGGCACCAGGATGGGGTCACCTGGTGTTCCCCAAGGCCACCTGCCCTAACCCAAAGCCCCTCACCACCAGCAGGGCAGGTCTGAGGGGGCCCGGGGCACCCAAAGGCGCCTGGCTGGCTGTGGGCAGGGGCAGCTGCCTTCCCCCTTCCCGTTACCCCCGTCCTCACCATCCTCAGCAGCAGGGGCCTCCAGAGCAGAGTTGAGACCAACCAAACCCAAACAAACCCCAGCAACTGTGAAACTGCCTCTTGGCCAAGCTCCACGCTGAGGGGGAGCCCTCTGGGAGGGTGCCTACAGGCGCCCTGCTCTGCCACTTCCAAACCTGCAGAGGCTGAGGGGCAGCAGAGTAAGGGGCTGCTGAGCTGCGAGGCTGCAGCGGGCCGGGCATTCGCCCACCTGCTTAATGCTAAGGGAATGCTTCAATCTGCTGATGCCAAAGCTAAACGTGCTTTGCTGGATGCGATGCCTAAGTGAGTAAGCACGTAAAATCTTTGGGCAAAAGCTTAATTGTTCCAAGCAGGAAGGGGGAAGAGAAAAAAACCCCATGAACGTGGTGTGGGCTTCCATGCTGCCCAGCATGAGGGTGCCTGTCTGCTGCGTGAGCCAGGCAGGGGTAATGACTGCCATGACAAATAACCGCAGAACAATTAAGGCGTGTTTGGTAGTTAGGCAAAGCTCAACCCTCAAGAAAAGGAAACAAACAACAGCAAAGCATACAAGAAGAGCCCCCTCCAACCTCAGCAGACAGGGCAGGGAGCTGAATGTCCCTTTCGAAGAGAAAAGCACAGGTCAAATCTCTTGCAGCGGGTCAATTCTGCTTCCCGACGGGGAATGAACAGCAGGCGTCGGAACCGCTCCCGCTGGGGGGTGAAACTGCTGCACGGCAGCACAGCTCTGGAAGGCCCTTCTGCACTTACACTAGTATCAATCCATATGGTCCTTCTTATGGCTTTCTAATTATAGTATGGATAATTTTAGCCTAGAATGCTTTGCTGCTTGCATATGCTAGCTTGTGAAAGATGCAGAGCTAGGATTTTCAAAGAATTTTCTAACTGAAATCCGCTGCTTGCTTTAAACAAAAAACACCCATTTTAAAGCAGCAAATGCATTTCGAGCTCTTGACCCCTGTTAGTCTAGGTGCTGTATAGGATCTACAGTCACCATGATCTCCCTCCTAATGAATCACAGAAAACAGGGTGGGAAGTCAGCTCGAACGGCCGTTTCAGCTGTCCTCATTCCTTGCAGAAAAATGAGCTCTGCCCAAACCTCTCCCGAAAGGTGTTCACCTAACCTGTCTTCAAACCTTCCAAGGACGGGGAATTCACAGCCTATTCCTGGGCCTTGCTGTGCCTCAAAGCTGAACATAAATTTACAGGAGAGCCGTTTTTCCCCTTCTGAAGTTAAAGGGAGTTTTATCTTCAAGTTCAGCCTGTGTAATTCCTCCCTAGAGGGGCTGAGCTGCTTGGACAAACTAAAAGGAACCGTCATGCCAATAAGCTGGTGCTTAGAGTCAGTGTGGGAAAAGGTAACAGAAACGGAAGCTCTGCACGGTCATAAGGCCATGACATTACTGACTTGGCAGATAAACGCCTTGATTTCTATCACCGGCATCTTTAAATGGAATGCTTTTATCTTTCCTTATCTCCCAGCACATGTCTTCCTTTTCCTGATCTCTTTGAAAAAATGCCTTTTTTCTCTCGATACTTAGTTCCAAATAAAGGCTCTGGTAATCAACTCAGGATCCTTCTTCAGCCCGTTCCTACTCTCATATTTACATCAGTTGAGAGCACCTCCAAGGAAACTGTCGAGCGGAATGAGTCTGAATTTACAGTTACAACTGAGTGGGGAAAAAATGAGATGGGTATTTACCCACAAAGGCTGAACTGGTGTACTTCTCGCCTCTTCAATTAATAAAAATCCAGCTTGATCATTGCCACAGTTTTTACCTGCTTCCAACAAAACCAGGATCCCGGGGGGCGGGGGGGTGGTGTCTGGGGTTGGGGTTTGAGTTTTGGTTTGAAACCTTGTGTCTGGTTCAGTATCTGCATGGCTGTGAGTGATGCAGTGCTTTAATTATCTTCCCAGGAGAGGCTCCCATCTGATAACGGCCACCGTGTGTGCAGGACCCGCACCTTTGTGCAGAAAAACAGGACATTCCACAGCTGTACGGTAAATGTTGTCTTTCCATTTTTTTTTTAACCCATGGGGAATTCAGCGCACTGATATAACCTATAGTTAGGTGAATTCACGCTCACTAGAGGAAAAAAGTTGCTTTCTCATGCGCCTGATCTACCTAGTGAGCTTTCAGGACGTCAGCACAGTATATGCTTATTTTACCACTGCCTTCAAGAAAAGGTGGGCAAGTAATTTCAAAGAATTCTATGGCATTTCAGTGGAGCTCTTAGAACTCGAGGCTGGCTAAAAGCATGGAAATGCTTATCCCCTTTTAAGACGTTTCTGTGTCTAGTTGGAGCCCTGGGGGGGAAAAAAACATACCTGGCACTTCCTGAAAATGATTCTCCTGTAAGGTCTGTCAAACACAGCTACCTGGAATCACCCGAGAATGTAAACATCTGAATCGTACTCCTTTTACGTGTCAGTGGGCTCTGTGCAGCACTATGGCACGATGAGGGTTCTCTGAAACCCTCTGTGACATACACAGGCTTATGCAAGCCGGGTAACGAAATAAAGAAACTAATTGTATAGGCACTGAAAGCCCTTTAACCACTTGGTTCCTGTCCCTTCACTCTGTAATAGTCCTTGCTATGTTTCTCTGAAGTCTTACAATGTCTATTTTGCAGATTAGAAACTTGAGGCATGTACAAAGCAAGTAAATAGGAGAGCTTTGGCTTTTCAGCTCCAGATAAGACAGTGCAGGAAACTGCAACAATCCCGGTAGGAAAACAACAGGATACAGAGCAGCAGTTCTTAAACTTGACTCCCGCCTCCTTCCCCCGGCACGGCCTGTGTGCTCCTGCTCACTTGAGAACACCGACTGGAGGTGGAGGGACCCGGGACAGCCGTAAAATACACATATAGGAGGGGGCGTATTGCCAGAGCGCTGACCAGGAATGGCGTGAGGGATGCTGACGGGGGGACGTGGTGTCTGGGGCAGGGACGGGATGAAGCTGTACTTAAAGCACATCTGGTTGCAAGACGGGAGTTGAGAGCGGAGCAGAAGTAGCTCATGGCTGCCAAAAATCATTGAGCTTGTCCCACCACTTCTTAGCAAGGGCCTTTGGGGTGGATTAATCATTTCCCACCACATCGTTTTTCCTGTTCTCTGCAATGTTTGTTTCTCTCCTCCCCCTCC